TGCTGATGTTGCAGAAAGGGGTTTGGGGTTGTCTTTTAACTGTTCTTCGAACTCTCTTCAATGTTTCTTTCAGGGACCGTCACGACAGAGCAACGAGGAGGGACAAGATCTTAGCCGCGTTCATGATCGTCCTCGCTGTGTTTTCCAACGCCATCGCCATTTACAGCGACGCATACGCCTTGTTCAAGAAGAACACTTCCCCTCACGAATGATCTTGAACCTTCTGTCTCAGCCCGAGGTTTCGATGTTTTTTTTTCCCTGGAGAAATCAATCCACCAGGTGGATCCGGGTTCGGGTCGGAAAATAATAATGAAAGGAGGACGAAACTTGTGCCCATTTGTATAATCGTGGTCGGTGTTTTGTCCGCAACGACCACTTCCATGTACAATCATATTTATCTTTTTTAATGTATATCTTTTTCTTCTCTATGAGCTGAATAATCCTCTGAAAACTTGGACTGAATATTTTTTAAATTGTTTATTTAGATTATTTGAATTTTAAAAAAAATCTCATTTCATTTCTTAATGTATTTCTAATCTTAAAAACTCTAACTCTAAACGTTAAATACAAAATTTAAAATTTAAAATATTAGAGTTTAGGGTTTTATGAATTGCTTAGAAGTAGATTTAGCGTTTAGAATTTGAGATTTAGGGTTTGGATTAAATTGAGAATAGTAAAATAAGAATTAAAAAAAAAATCTAATTACAAGGATATTTTAGCTATAAGAAAAGGGTTTTGAATTTATTTTAACAAAGAAAATACATACATTTCGGCGTGAGTCCTATTGTAACTATACCTGAGCCCATTATCATCTACTAAAACCCAACTCACAAAATTGCAATTCCGACCCGACCCGACCCGGAATATGATTTCACCTTCTTTTTTTTTCCACAGATTTGCAACATTTCCAGGAGTCCGGTAGATCAGAAGCAGATTCTCCTTCCTTCTGTGGTTTCCTTCTTCGTCGGTATTCCTCGAAGCAGTCGGTGAAGGTAATGTTACTGATTAGCTTTGATGCTTCGTTTCGTTGTTCATGTACCTTCTGTGTGCGTCTGTGTTTTTGTGTTTTTTCTCTCGACTGTTTTCCCTGTGAACTTTTGACGGGAAAGTGATGGAAAATGACGCTTGGGTCCAGTTGTTTGAGGTTTGAATTTCACGATTCGTTCGTATCACATTTCGATTAAATTCACGTTAGGTACATCCGATTTTATCTCTTTGATCGTAGCGTGATTCGCATTTCTGAAGCTATTTGTGAACGAATTCTAGAGTTTTCTTTTTATTCGTGTGAATTTACGATCCGAGGGCCTTACCTGATGATAAAGTAAACGCAGCTTGAAAGACCATCCTGTGAAGTAAGAAATCTGGGAGATATGCACGGGTCATTGTACATTAGTTTAAGTGGAAGAAATCTTCTTCTTGTGATTTGTTTATCGATGGTATTGTACGGATGGTCTTTGAGGATCAAGTAGTAGAACTCCGTACTGGGTTTGTGAGATTCTTGAATTGTTTACCATGCCATTGTTATACCTTTTTGGTGTCGATCTCTCTTAGACACCCTGAATTTTCGTTAATATCTTTCTTAGACAGAATGATGCTTCTGAGCGTTTTTTCTTTTTCTTTTTGCAGTTTATTTCAAGCTGAATTTCCTTTCCTCCCTTACCCACTTTCACCTGGATAACTAGCCATTAGAAGTTAAAAAAAGGAAATGGATCTCACACACGAAAGAACTCTCCCTGTCGATGATGTCGACAGTCTTGTTCCTGAGCCCAGCTCAACTAAAACGAGCCAGCTGGAAGAAGTGATGAACCAAGAACTGTTAAGGGGAGGCGGAATTCTGACAAAAGTTGAATTGGATTTAGCATTTTGTTCTGAGAAGTTGGTGAATCTAAGTGTTCTCATGATGCACCTGGGCACGATGGAAAGCGACTTTGAAGCGTTTGCTTCTGAGAAAGAACCCTCGGGAGTTGATTCTGCTGGGAAGGCTATGGAGTTTGACCTCTTGTCAGTAATCCTTGATTCAGAGGTGAACGATCTTGAAAAACTTATCCAGCATCTCCAGACAGAAACTCAAAGTGTGCGTGACATGATATCCCCATTTCAAGAGGTGGAGGAAGCTTTCCCAGAGATGATAGAGAAGTTGTGTAATGCTGAACAAGCTTTGCAGCAGTCACTAGATCAAATTTTGGAAATGAAAATGCAATCTGCTAAATTTCAGAGGATATCGTCTGGCTTGGATGGAGTTGGAACTTGTAAGTGACAAACCTAAGTAAACAAATGAAACTTCGTCTATGCTTTTCTTTTGACCATATTAGGATCTGATGACTACTTGTATGATGCTCTCATGATCTGAAGGAAGGCTGGCTTTATGTTATTTTGAGCATGTCTTAATGAATACATCCGATAAATTACACCGAGATGTGGTTGCTGAATATGTTAATTTGTTTTGCCAGGGTCTGGAGGTCAAGTCGGAGAATTTCAATATGATGGCGAGTTTGGTGATATGAGCTCTAAAATTAAAATGCTGACGGCTGATCAACAAAGGAACTTTTTGAGGATGCTGGAGAAATCTCTGGGCAAAGAGATGGAACTGGAGAAGAAATTAACTGAATCAAGACAAACCGAGAAAGAACTGCGAGTGGAGCTATACTCTTCTGAGCAGAATGTTTTCTACATGGAAGAAGAAGCCCAAGAGGCTTATTCTAGGTGGTTTGAGGCAGAGAATGCTGCTGAAGTCTTTAAAGGAATTTCAAAAGAGCTATTAGGAAAACTTCAGATTCTTCAGTTCAATCTAAACGGCTACTTTAAGCGGGAAAATGACTTGAAATCTGAGCTAATTGGTTCAAAGGAACAGCTGGAAGCGAAAGAAAGTGCTTTGCAAAAGCTTGATAGCAGCAATGCAAGAGTCAATGGCTTCCTTGCGGCACAAGCAGAAGGCTTGAAAGAATGTCTGAGAGAAACTGAGGATAAACTGATTCTGTTAGATTCTGAGAATATGACACTAAGGGAAACAATCAGTTCTCTCGAGGAACAGCTGAAGGAACGTGAGCTCCAAGCAAAAGATTTGGGGTGTGAAAGTCAAAGGCAGGATTCTGTTTCTTCTGCTACACAGTTAAGGGACCTGGAGCATGCCGTTGAGGATCTGAAAGACAGACTGACAATAGCGGAAGCTAGAGCTGAGGATGCTGAATCAAAATGTAAACAAGTAGATCAAAACAATAAGGAACTTACTGATGAGTTGGAGCCTTTCAAAGCAAAGGGTTTCACTGCAGAGAAGTTGGAATCAGTTGAGAAACGCTTAAGAGATTCAGATATTCAGCTAAAACATGCAATAGCAGCTGGTGAAGCAAGTGAAGAGAAGCAGAACATGTTATATTCTACAGTATTTGATATGGAAAACGTGATAGAGGATCTGAAACTAAAAGTTACGAGGGCAGATTTGGGCTGTGAAAGTCAAAGGCAGGATTCTGCTTCTTCTGCTACACAGTTAAGGGACCTGGAGCATGCCATTGAGGATCTGAAAGACAGACTGACAATAGCGGAAGCTAGAGCTGAGGATGCTGAATCAAAATGTAAACAAGTAGATCAAAACAATAAGGAACTTACTGATGAGTTGGAGCCTTTCAAAGCAAAGGGTTTCACTGCAGAGAAGTTGGAATCAGTTGAGAAACGCTTAAGAGATTCAGATATTCAGCTAAAACATGCAATAGCAGCTGTTGAAGCAAGTCAAGAGAAGCAGAACATGTTATATTCTACAGTATTTGATATGGAAAACGTGATAGAGGATCTGAAACTAAAAGTTACGAGGGCAGATTACCGGGCTGACAGTGTGGAAGATAAGTTGATTGCAGTATCCGAGTCTAATGCAGAGCTCAACGAGGAACTGAGTTATTTGAGAGGCAGATTGAAAGAATTAGAGGAATTAAAAACGAGAACTGCTAAAGACATCGGTGTTCGTAACAAGATAATGAAAAATCTGGTAATGCAGCTAGCTGTTGAACGAGAACGGCTTCACCAGCAGGTATTAAGAAATTACTGCTGCTCAATTTTAGTCTGCCTTTTAATCTTTTATGATATGCTTCCTACCACTTTGTCACTTTCACACCTTTCTATGATTTGAATATATGCCGAATATAGGATAGTGGGCTTTAAGTTTAGCGATAATGGCAGTAAAACCGTTTTATCCCCGGGTTATTTGCGGGTTTTGCAGATATCTACCTTATCAGTAGAGAATAGTGTGTTGGTGATGAAGTTGAAACAGAGGGGCAAGCCTTGTTCTGCTGTCAATGGTAATGGGTTCACGCAAAGCAAAAAAGATGGTTTTTCACCAAAACCTGAACAGAGTGGTGAGTCTCGACATCGAGAAAGCAGATCACGAGTGACCGTCACGACCTCGGCTACCAGTTCAGAGGTAATAACCAACATCCTAAGACTCTTTCCCACTCGTGTTTGCGAAGGAAAGAATTTGTTTGGGTTTCTGAGTACCATTGCATAAACATGGATTAATCTCTCAACAATTTGTGTTTATATCTTTCCGAGCCATCAGTGGTTGAAACTTGATAAAAGGATCTGAGAATTCTGGTTCTTGAACAGGAAGAGGGGTCAAAAGGGTCAGCAGTGTCGGAGACAGAATCCAAATCAGAGACGAGCGATGTAAGAAGAGTAGATGCAGGTGCTCTTGGAATGAAGCACATCCTCACGGCTATTCTCTTGCTTATATTATCGGCTGCTGCTTACTCTATTCTCCAACCCGACCCAGCGTTTTAAACGTCACCAGTTACTATATATATATATATATATAAGCTAATCTAGGCTTCTCTCTAGCTTTGTTCATATGGGTTTTTTTTGTTTATGCAATTACTTCCAGATTGCTTGGAATAGTACATGTTGATATAACATTTTGATCCCAACTTGGCTCGGTTTGGTTTTTTCGACCAAAGGAGAGTGGTTCTTTCTTTCATGAAATGTCTCAAGTGATGATTTCTGTTCCTTTTCTACAAGACGCTTATGTTGATCCTTTAATTTATGCATGATTTTATTAATGATTAATTGGGGAGCTTTATATATTAGTCATTATGTATCATAAATTTGGAAATTTTTCATGAATTATCACCGAAATATACGACTGTTTAAAAGAGGAAAAAAGGCGATATAAGATATAGAAAAGCTTGTATTATAGAAATGTAAATATTGTGTACTCGGGACAATCTAATTATGGATATAAAATCCAAAACGAATCATGTTAAATAAGAATTATAAAAAATAAAATTATGTAGATACACACAAGGGATGGTGGCCGTGGGGAATTTTTTGGTTAACCTTGCACCCTTATTTTTAGTTACTATTATATTGTCGATTATAACTGTATTCGATGATTAAATTTGATTATAAAAATTAGAAAAGGAATATAAATCATTTAAAAAAATGTAACTTTGATTATAAAAATTAGAAAAGGAATATAAATCATTTAAAAAAATGTAACTTGAAACACTTGAGAAAAAGCATATTGGAGCATCCGTATGGTTAGTGGAGATGGCTATTTCAAACGCAATATTAATTGTTTTCACAACGAAAAAAGTTACCTAAAATTGATTTCGAATTCGATATGAGATTTTCAAATATTTATCTTGTAACATTCGATTTGGAAGAATTTTCCATTTTACGGTTTAAAAAAAAAAGAATTTTTCATTTTATGATTTATATCACAATTAATAACTATTGAATGTAAATATAAAAAAGAAGACCCAAATAAATTATTTTTTATGAAGGGAAACAACTACATAAAAAAAACCTTTGCAAGGTTAATGAGATAAAAAATAAATAAATAACATATAAAAATAAAGGGAAAGATTAAAACTCCAAAATCAAATATATTTATTCTAGCCAAAATAAATAATTAATGGAACGATCTTCTTCACTTGTCAAGTCCAGTTGCATTCTTCACTGCATCAGCAGCTCCTTGTGCCTTCGCTTTTATCTGTTGGCCCGTCTGTATACACATATACATTCACCCATACTAAAAAATATTAAATTTCAAATTAATATTCTCTCTAATCTAAATTTTTGACGTTATAAAATGAATTTTCAATGACCTGTACATTTAGCTAATATAGATCTTTCTTAATAATTAAATATTATTGACTATTAATTACGCGAGTTTGATGATGAGAACCATTCTTAAGAAAACGTTGTCATTTTTTTTTCAATTAAGATAATTATTTTAAAAACAAATTTGTAAAATATTGTAGGATTAGACAGAGTATTAATTATAACTGAAATTAAATTAGCTTAATTCATACAAAAATTATTCAATCCGTAAACAAATTACAAACCTCCTGCATGGACTCCTTGGCAGATTGAGCAGCGTTGCCCATCTTGTCCATCATGTTGCTCGCCTTCTCCTGAAAAATTAATAAAATAAACAAATCGATGATTATATATTTAATTACAAAGATTTTACTTTCTTACAACATAAATTTTTATTTTTTTTAAAAAAGTATTTTTTTATTTAATATTTGTTACCTGAGTTTGGCCCTTGGCCTGACCAGCTTTGAAGCTCATCTGCTGACTGTTGTCTGCCATGTTTTTTTGTTGTTATGTGTAACACTTGGAAGCTTAATCACAGAGATTAAAATCTTTGATCTCAATTAACAAGCGGCTAATGGTGATGATTAGAGTTTCCAAAACATTTCACAATTTATAGATCTCTCGAGGCTTTCCTCGTCTGACACGTGTCCCTGGATTATTGGATCGTACTTGGTCAACATTTTGAGTTAGTTTGTTGTGGTTGATCCGGAATCAGTTCCGAGTCACGCCCGAGTTCGAGTTTGACTATTTCAATCAAAAATTTGCAATCCTATTATATATGAAAAATTAATATAACTACTGATTATATATATATATAGAATAATCGGCTTTTTTGTTTTCAAGAAACTATATTTATATTTATATTTTTATATCGAAATCGAATAGGGTTTGGATTCAATTTTTTTATTAATAAAACTCTCTCACTCGCCTGTCGTAAACTCTCCGGCGGCTTCTCCCGGTCGCCGGCTACTCGATTCGGTCGGTGGAACCCTAACTCATCTCCCTTTCTGACCGTATCTCCGTCGAACCCTAACTCTCTCTCTCTCTGTCTCGCCTCCGCCGTTCTCCTTCTCCGTTCGTCTTTCTCCCCGGCGCATCGGTCTTGGGTTTTTTAACCCCTTTGATTTTTGGTCTCGAAGGGTTGAGTTGTTCGGGAATTATGGTTTTCTCGTCATAATCTCTGATTCGAAATTCTGGGTTTTGATTTTACTGTATTGATTTTGCGTGGCTGAATTTTTCTGGGACTGCTTTGCAGTGTGTGATTGGATTGGAATACGAATTAGGAATTGATACAGTAGCAACCCTGTATCCGAAGAACCAGAGCTCGAGGAAGGTGAGCTTCTGAAAACACAAGGCGTGATTTTTCATCCACCATTTTAGCTTTAACTTGTTCATTCAGTGTTCATCTGTAATCTGGACTCTTGTGAATTCTGTCAGCTGACGAAGACAGAAGAAGTTCATAGGAACACTGGTTCCGGTGAAACCGTGAACCCAGGTCTGGTCTGATAATAGGTAACACACACATACATTGGTTATATTTCTATATTTATACATTTTGATTTCCCAATGCCATTGGAAATATATTCCCCAAAATCGAAAATTTTAAAAACATGATATATCTGATTTCTTAAATCTACATTTCTCCAAATTGCAATTTTGGATCTCCCTGTGACCGCAGAGAAACCCTCACGCAATTGCTGCAGCCTTCAATCTCCTCTGCAGCTCCTTCCTATACGACACAAAACAACGAGTCCATTCAAAAACCGGAAATTTCCGGTACAGACTAAACCGGGAATACGAAAACCAAACCGGAGCTTAACCGGGAAACACCAAAATTTCACCTCATAAGTTGGCGGTCAAGGGCAGTAGTGGCGAGCATTCCCCGGTTCTCTTCTGCACGTCTGAGCAAGTACGGAATGGCGGTCTCGACCGGTCCGAAGGGCATGTATTTGCTGACGTTGAAACCCGACTTCTTAAGCCCGAGAGACAATGCGTCGGACATTCCGTACAACTGCGCAAACTCGATCTTCCTGTCTCCTATATCGATCCCAAGGTCCTTCGCCTTCTTGGCCGCAAGTTTTCCTAAGGATCAAGTTCCAAACATTCAAAAAATGCGTCCATGTTTGATATATATATATATATATATATAATGTGAGTTCGGTTGTTACCTGAATCGGTGTTATGAGTGGCGAGAACGACCCCGACGGCCGAACCACTGGCGGCCTTCTCTAGCAAGAAGGACATGCACGTGTTGTAGCACGTGTGAGTCTCCTCGATACTGTCGTGGACCGGTGATTTGCAACCCAAGGAACTGGCTAGACGTCGTTCGCTAGACATGTAAGCCCCTCTCACGAGCTTAAACCCTACTGGAACTCCCATTTTCTCGGCTTCTCGCAGCGCCAATTGCAATCTCTCCCCCGAGTCTTTCAGATACGCCTGAACCGTATTGTACACAACCGGCCGAGACTTGTCGGAATTGAACAAGATCGTCGACCAATACGCCATGTAATCTATCGCCGGTTGCAGGATTGTGTCCTCGGCATCGATCAGCAACGGCACGTTGGTTTCTTGACACTCGCGGCATATGGTCCGTAGTCTTTCGTGGGCGTTTTCGAGTTCTCGTTCTTCTTCTAGGGTTAACGGTTCGGGTTCAGAGTTCGTGTGGTACAGAGGACTTGAACCGGAGAAAACCGGGAATGACTTGAGCTTCCATGGGAGATCGAAATTAGGGTTTTTGTATTGCCAACGAAGCAAGTCACTCACTCGTTTCAACACTCTGATCGGACAAATCGCAGTTATAAGATCGTCGACCAATACGCCATGTAATCTATCGCCGGTTGCAGGATTGTGTCCTCGGCATCGATCAGCAACGGCACGTTGGTTTCTTGACACTCGCGGCATATGGTCCGTAGTCTTTCGTGGGCGTTTTCGAGTTCTCGTTCTTCTTCTAGGGTTAACGGTTCGGGTTCAGAGTTCGTGTGGTACAGAGGACTTGAACCGGAGAAAACCGGGAATGACTTGAGCTTCCATGGGAGATCGAAATTAGGGTTTTTGTATTGCCAACGAAGCAAGTCACTCACTCGTTTCAACACTCTGATCGGACAAATCGCAGTTATCTTCACAACCACGGAGCTAACCTGTATTGAAAAAAAAAAAAAAAAAAAAAAAAAAAGGGAAAGGGGAAATCTCAGGTCAGGATGTTCTAAACCGAAATTTCAGTAAACCGCCGGTTAGCGAGTAAACCGGTAAGCCGGATCTTCTGGAACTAGGTCAATATTCCACGTAGGATTTGCGTGTTTACCGTGTGAAGTCTGACTAGATAATGACGCGTTGATTTTATTATTAACCGTAAATGTTATTTTCACACACAAGCGTAAAAAGCTAAGGGTTTGAGTCAGACAACTTGAATTATTAACCAATGAAATTTACTCATATTTATAAAACTATGTACGAGTGCGTATATATATATATATATATACCTTCTTCACTATCTAAGCAACTTGCTCAAATTGACCCAAGTTGATAAAATAGTAAATCGTTACATGTTCTTCGTGTATAATTAATTAATATTTAATATGAAGATCGGAATGTACCAAGATTATTGGTACGGAAATTGTTTTAGTTCTCTGACAAAAATTCAGTAAAAAAACATAAATCAAAGAAAATTAAGTTCCGACAGAGCAACTTGAAAAATAAAATAAAAAAATAATCCCAAGTCAAAACTTAAAATTCAGGATTAGAATGCAAAATAAGGAAAGAGATAAGTAAGAAATCTTACGTAATTAGAAGGAACTCCTCTCGCGGCTTCGACGGTATCGAGGAACCTCTGCATGTTGTCGTCGCACGCTCCACCGTCGTCGGAGTGTTCCACGCCGTAGACGAGCATACCCTTCAGCCCTGTTGCCTCGTACATGCGCCTCACGCGCCGCCCAGCCGCCGCCGCGTCCTCTCCGGCGCAGAAATGGTCGTAGAACGTCCTCCTCACGACGCCGAGAAAGAGTTCCCGAGTCGCCGCCACGTCCATGAGCTTGGAGCCCATGACCCACGAGCCCAGATCGACCATCGGCCCGATCGCCGCCGCGTGGAGGACGGCGGTGGAACGGAGGAGCTCCGCCGTGTGAACGCCGGCGAAGAGGCGGGCCTCGTCGGAGAGATCGAGGTCGGGGATGTGTTTGGGCTGAAGGGGCTCGGGCTCGTCGGGGTTAGGTTGTCCGAAGGTGAGGATTTCGGGGACGACGGCGGTAGAGGCAGCGAACGAGGGAACTCCGGCGAAAGGGGTCGCGGAGATGGACGGGCGGAGATGGCGGAGAAGACTCGGTGATCGGAGGAGATGGGTTGCCATAAAAGTCTGAGCTTTCGTTCTAGTTTTTGTGTTGTGTTTTTTCTGTTTTGCGTAAATTAGTGCCACCAGAGGTTCTCATATATATATATATATATATGCGCGTATACGTGGCGCTAAGTAATATGAATTTTTTAGATTGATTTTAATCTTTTTTCGTTACGGAGAGTGTTAATTGAAAAAAATAAATCATCGATTTATTAACACATACGGATTTAAATAGTATATATTTTCGTTTAACCTCGAGTAATAGTTTTCAAGATGATAAACACGTAACGGACACATCAAATCCAGGTAATTACAGATCATATTTACAACGGTAATTTTCTTTCATCATCATCATCATCAGAAGTTATCGCCGTAATTATCTGAAAGGACTTTGCGGATAAATCAATTCAACGGCAAGCGACAGCGAGACCTGAGCTTCAGCTGAGTCACCAGATAACTATTCATTAATTGACTAATTACAATTTTAGAAAATGAATAGAAAAAATGTCAGAAATTTAGAAAATAAATCATTAAATATTATTGACTCGTGAGTCGGTGGGGATTCGATATGAGTAATCAGATGCAACTGCCCTTGAATCTTTGACTTTTCTCCCTTAGGAATCTCCATACGCAAAATATATATTTTTTGTTATTATATTGAAACTATTTTTTATTTTTGTATAATACTATTAAATCATTTATCTATATTTTTTTTAAGGTAAGTTTTTTTTTATCTAAAGGGATGACTTCTAATTTTACTAATTCAAATTGCATAACAATCAAAGATAATGACAATACAAGACTAGAGAATGGAGAAGAAAATTTGCAATTTTATTACTTGAATAATCGAACAAGTCAATGAATTATTTCTAACATAAAAGTTGAATGGAATTCATCTTGTAATCTGCATCCAAGTTTATGAATGGTAGATATAAATTATTATATATACATATTGTCCTATTCAAAAAATTAGTTTTTTAATTATGTGATTGATTTATTTCGAAACAATTACACGCGATTTTTTTAAAATGCTGATTTTGATTGGAGGTGGGGTGGAGAATTCTCGCACTTCAGTATTTCGAGTTTTAGGGTTATATATTTATTCCGATCTGCTAATTAATTTGAGTATATTTATTCCATTTTTATAATAATTTCTTTGCATTCCACAATATATCCCTATTTTAGAATGTTTAAGTAAATCCCATATTTAATCTATTCTTTTAGAAATTAAAGATAAATAAAGTGTTCCATTCAAAAGAACAATCAAACGGAATAAGTTTCAAGATCCTAACAACTATAATTCTAAAACGAACCATATTTTATGATAGTGAAAATATAAAATAATTTATTTTACATTCCGTTATCGGATTTAAATATAACCATAATATAACCATATCTTTCAAAACCAAGTTATGACACAATTCGATTATTGTGTACATATAATGATGCACTCTATAATAGGTTGTGAAACATAAGCAACAAAAAAAAACTTTAAACTGAAATAAAATAAAATTGGGACCCCAATCCCCCAATACGGTAGTGTTCTTGTGTAACTAGTTCGAAATATTATATATATATATATGCATATGTATATTAGTATGTATATATATATATGATGCGATTTGGACGGTCAGGTGATCCTTATTTGTTTATTATTTAGGTTTAAAAAATAAAATAAAAGTAGGTTAAGGGGAGGCAAAAGCAGCATGAGTGTGCCACGTGGGGAATTCATGGGTTGGTGGGCAGAAGCACCATAACTATATACATTAATTTAATTATATTGAGATAATTTTATCAAATTTATAAGATATGAAGATTAAACCAATCAAAAATATTTTTTATCCCACAGAATTATTTGGAAAAAATTCTACATCCATATTATATTTCATGGCGGAGAGAAATTAACATTTTACAAATTACAATCTCACACATTTTTTTCCTTGATCGTGCATAATGTGGCAAAATCTAGTATTGTGGGTAGATTTAAGTTCATGATTTGCAATGGTGTCACAACACAATGTTATTTGGTCAATCTTGTATCCGTATACAAATTCGAATCATTTCGAACCGGATAATATACATTCGTATTTAAACCGATTTATATTAAAAAAAATTGAATGAATGTAATCTTTTAAATATCGAAATAATCGATTATAAAAATAAATAAAAATTAAGTTAGAAAATGAATTTTTTATTATAAAAACCAAATTCAAAGTTAAGAGAACCCAAAAAAAAAACGAAGGAAAAAAAAAATCGGACACCTGAAATTGAAAGAAAGCCCTCGCCCGCCATTATCACGCTCCAAAAATTTCGGGAAAATTTTTAAACCGTGTCTTTTGAATTTCCCACCGCCATTGGAGGAGGAGGGAAAAGCACAAGTTGTCAAGTACCCAAAGATTGTTATCGAACATTATCAGCTTCTATTGTGTGCCCAGTGTCTCTTCTTCGTCAAAATCCCATTTTCTATTCTCCCGAGGAAGGCAGATCGTGATTATGGCGGTGGAGAGCGAGAAACCGGCAAAACGCACCACAAACCCTGGTGTTAGGGTTATTGGAGGAAGGATCTACGACTCCAGCAACGGGAAGACTTGTCATCAGGTGAAGAAAGAGCGCTGTCTCTGTGTATTTTCTTTCGTAGATTATGGATATATCATTTTCTCGCGGTTTCTGTTCGTATTGCTTCAAATTTTGGTGAGATGAATAATGGGTACGATGAAGAATCTGGCTTTGCGTTGGTTTTACCTCCGTGATCTCTGCATATCATGTTTGGTTGATTGGAAAGTACGGTAAATTGAAACGATAGACACTCTGGGCATTTCCTTTGACTAGGAAAATGGAGAACCATACTTCGTAAATTTCCAGAAAGATGGGTTATTTGAATTGTGTTTATTTTTTGGGATTCTGTTCGGTTGATGAGAAAATATTGTTTCTCCTTATATTGTTAATGACTTTGATCCCCGAGATTTCACGTTCGTTTTGAATTTCTTGATATTCGCTTTGTTTGATCCGTGGGAATTTCTTGTACGTTTGTCATTTGGAGTTTGTTCTTTACCAACGGGGAACAAGAAACGATGAAAACTAATACCCTATTGAGCTAATGGGTATGTTCGAGGATTCACAAGCACTTTTGTCTCTTAAAGTAGTGAAAGCATGAAGTTTGGTGGGTTTAACAGATCAGATTTAAATCTTGTAACTCTTCTGGTAGATATGTTTGTTTGCATTAGCGGCAAGTTTCACAAAGAATTGCGTGTTACAGTGCCGGCAAAAGACCATGGTTTTCGCTGCATCGTGCACGGTCATGAAGAACAACAAGCCGTGCCCAATTAAGTACTGTCACAAGTGCTTGTTGAACAGGTTTGCTTTGGTCTCCCGGATTTTTGTTGATCATCATGTTGTTGGGAAATATTTGGAGCTCTAAGTTATATAAATTTGCTTCTGACCCAATGTTAGATATGGTGAGAAAGCAGAAGAGGTGGCGCTATTGGCCGAGTGGACGTGCCCGAAGTGCAGAGGAATTTGCAATTGCAGTTTCTGCATGTAATACACCAATCTGTATAACCTTTCTTGAGCATAATATATGCCTTTCCAGTTGCAGTTTCAGCATGGAATATCGATCTATATGGCTTTTCTTGAGCTTATTCTATGTTTTTGGTTGGAACAATATTGTTAAGTGTATCTTCTTTACAGGAAGAAGAGAGGTCATCAGCCTACTGGCATATTGGCACACACAGCTAAAGCCACCGGATTTTCTTCTGTCTCAGAACTTCTGCAAGTGAAGGGTCCTGAGAATTTTTCATATCAGAAGCCTTTAAAGCCAGTAGGTGCTTTCCCAGAGATAGCAGTTGTGTTAAACAAAGTTGCAATTGTTTCTGCAGAATGCTTTTTTACCTGTTTTTTCAGTTGTATTACCTTTGTAATATCTTTATCTTGTGCCCGTGCAATTTTCTTGTTCCAGGAAACTGTTGTTACCTCCCCTAGAAAGCCCGGGAAAGAAAATTCCCTTGAAGGAAAAGGCGATTTGCTGAATGAAGAGACGCGTGTCATTGTGCCCAAGAAAATTAATCGAGAAAGGCTTAAGGAACTAAACAATGGGAGTGGTGATGAAAGTGCTGCAAAGAAGAGTAGTCCCAAAAGGATCAAGACTTCTGTGGAAGCTTGTGAGACTGTTCCGAAGAAAAAAGTTTCCGAAGAAAGAAGAGATAGATGTGATAATTCTAAGGCTTAATGCATGGAAGCATTGCTCTCTTGTGTCCTGTTAGAAAGAGGCTAACAGAGAAAATGATGGTGCAGGTGTTGCAAAGGATGTTGAGAACGACAACGTGAAGGGAAAGATCAAGAAAGCTAAAGCTACCCACAAACTGAATAAATGTGAAATGGAGCATAAGAACGAGGACAGCCGGTTTGATGCTCAACTGCCCGAAAGCATCAGCTCAATCTCGATATCCGGCATTGAACTGCCACCAGAAGACGTTGGAAATGTGCTCCAGTTTTTGGAATTTTGTTCAGCTTTTGGAAAGGTATGATTATAGGCATTTATCTCCACTAGGGCTGATCATGAGTGGGTGTTTTATAGTGAAGCTCTTACGTTTTGATTACTACTTATTGAAATAATCAAGTTCTTTAGACTTGATTGTTTTATTGACGCTCACTTGAATTTGTCCCTTTCATCACTCAAATACTTTGCCAGGCTTCTTTTTCTTGTTATTAACTTTCTTCTTTGGAATCTTATGTTAGGTTCTTGACTTAAGGAAAGGACAAGCTGAATGTGTGATACGTGAACTGTTAAGTGGACGTGGCAGAAGGAGACAACAGTATTCCATGCTAATTCAGATGATTATCCGAATTTCACGTGTGATATTAGAGGATAGAGGAGAATTGTATGTGTTTATTCCTGGAAGGTTAAGAGTTTTGCTATGACTTATATTTATGTTCACTTGATTAACTTCCATTTTTAATTGTTTAGGTCCCTGTCCCTTAGCCCAACTGATGGCAAATGGTTCAAAGCTGTGGGAGAATGTGTCTCAGAGCCGGATTTGCTCGACGATTTCCCCTCCGAGTTGTTTGGGAAAGGCATTGCAGAGTATGGGAAGTTGGATACATCGAAAAAGCTTAAGCTCTTGAACTTTTTGTGCGATGAAGCTCTCTCCACTACGTATGTAATTTACAATACATTTGAAAATTTTCAACTCTTGGTGCTTGAGTGCTTAAACTTTTGTGATATTTTGATCTTTATCTGTTGAAAAACATAGGGCAATGAGGAATTGGATTGACAACCAAAGTCTGGAATCTGATGATAGAAAGAAAGAAGCTAAGGAAAAGGTTGCAGCAGCAAAAGAAAAGGTAATCTTGGTTAGGATCAATGCTTGAAACATGCCAGTTTCTGAGTTTCATGTTATTTATCTCTAAAGGTTTTTTTTTTTTTTGTTTCAGGAGAAACAACTGAAGCAGAAGTTGCAAGATGAGGTGGCAAAAGCTGTCATGGCGAAATCCAGTGCTCCATTGTCGATTTCAGACCACGAAGCTATCATATCACAAATTAAAGCTGAAGTTAAAGAAGCTCATGCTGAGATGGTGGAGGCAATGGACATGCTGCCCAAAAGTACGTATGGATATTGATCCTGCTTTTCATTTCGAATCTGAAATATGCACGGAGGTGTATGTATATATATATGTATGTACATATATGGTCCTAATCAGGTGTACTTGAACTCTTGTGATATGTTTCAGAGAGGCAAAGAAGTGATGCTGTTAGGACCGACCCTGTGATATTGGACGAGAATGGCCGTGTTTTCTGGAGGTTAACGTCCTATAACGGGGAACCAAACATTTTGCTTCAAGGTTTTCAAAAAAACATTACAGTTTCGTTATGTCCATGTCCTGGTACAGTGGTACTAGTTCATGTGTGTGTGTGTTTTAACTTCTTCCTTCTCTGCACACAGATGTTGGAACCTGGGGTGAAGTTTGTACTCATGAAAAATGGCTTACCTTCAAATCTGATCAGAAGCCAGAGATAGAGAAGTATCTCTCTTGTTTAAGGTGAGAGTCGTTCCTCTGCACTAAATATACTTAAACAACGATAATTATCGGCTTGATTTGATTTACCCGGTTATGGTTATAGAAATGGTCTTTCGGGTTTTAGTTACATAGATTCAAGTAATCTGTGGTCCAAAGTTAAACCTTGCCACCCTCCATAACGGTTTCATAACCGTCCAATCGATGCATAAATGGGAATTACAAACTCCGGAATCTCATCCTTTTTTCCTCTTTGAATCCTCTGTTTTGTAGGTTGAAACAGTGCCGTGCAAGAACTTTCGAAAACTGAGGTAAAGAAAACCCACAATCTTTGGATGTTACATAGCTCGAGGGGCGATCTTGGAGCTGATGGATGATACCCATTTTGAAGAATATATCCGGTATCTTTAGTTTTTGTATCGAAAACCGATAGATTTTGGATTCTAAAGTATGAATATTCTTGGGAAGGAAAGTGAGTTTTCGGGGCGAAAATATGAAGATCCTGTCATCTTTGTTGATGGTTCATTAAAGATGTAAAGATCTAAGATGACGATGTCTCAAGCTCAACAATGAAACACCATTCTTGTTTTTGTTCTGTCTTCTTTCCTTAATTGTTCTTTGCCGGTTTGGTCTTGTTGTGTTTCATCATATCATTATATATGCATATTTGCTTCTAATTGGAATCATTAACTTGTAGATTTTGTTCATAGATAGCTAGACAAAAATACTGATTACCCAATTTTTTTTTAAAAAAATGTAGGACATAGCAATTACCAATAAATTATCAATTAATTTTTTTTCCGCCATATAACATGATTTGAATTCTTATATATACATACATATGTGTATATATATATATAAAACGAGAACATCGGTCCAATGTCTACCTACGAAGGGGCACAGACCATGTCGTTCACGGGATAATCACATGTCGACCGGTCTTCCTCCGTACATTACATGTTCCATAATGCATATTTATTTTTAATTAAGTAATTAAACCATTTTTTAAAACATTATTTATATATATATATTTATTTACTTTTAATATCTACAAGAAATGCAACAAGTGAGAGACAAAAGAGCTTCGGATGCTTTTGTTTGGTTCCACGAGTTTTGACCTAAAGAGATAAATTTAATTGATCGTTGTCTCCCTTTTGATCTCGTTATCAATTCACATTGTGTCTTAATGTCCCTACATAACATGCTCACGAGAGATAAAGAAATAAAATTATTATTATATTATTTTGCATGTCTAATCAATCTTTTCCCTTCTTTACATTTCCAAATTTATATATTTCATCAATTTTTTTTTACTATGGAAATGAATGTTGAATGCATAACACTTTCTTAGATTGCAAGAGAATATGAAGGCATGAGTGTGTAGAAGCATGAAAACATTAGAGTTGCATTTCTTGGACCATATGTATTTTTTACAAGAGATGTTTTATTGGATTAAACAAAAATAATCGGTTATTTTATTTATATTTTTAATTCACGCTTTGATGAGTTGTAAACCATCCATATTTAATTGAAGATATAAATATTACAAAAAAAAAGAATTAACAACATTTACATAATTTCCCTTTTAATATGATATATAGTTATAAATAAAATGCTATTTAACCACTCAAAATTTTAATTAGTTTTTAATATAATTTGAAATCGCAAACGGCATATCTTTGGATGGCATTGGCTTCAAACATGTGAGTGTGACGATGTAAACAAAATCGGGAAATACAAAAATCAAGGGGATTAGATAAGAATAATAAAATTATTATACGTTAACGATTTATGAATCGAGCTTATGAATTGACTTAAAGATCTTGAAACTTTTTCAAAATGCAACTGCGATAAATGCAAAAAGTCAACATCAAAACCCAAGACAAGACAAGAACATGTTGGATTATGTCGTTTTTAATTGTTGGTTAATACGGTTAATTAAGTGCCTTTAAATTACTATAATGCCGGGTTTGTGGATAATCTTGTTGGCTTAGGCCAAATCAGTTTGAATCGCCACAATTTTAAAGATTTTAATTTTGAATTAGGTAGTAAATTTTATAAATGAATTAAAAAATATATAGTTGGTTATAATTCAATTTATCTTGTCTCACGAGTCAAATGAACTAACCCACAATTCATATCAAATAGTAATACGATAAAGTAAAATCCATCTTAAAATTACATTTCGAAAAAAAAATATACTCAAATTAAATATATAAAGTAATACAAATGATCAAATTGTCTAACTCCAATAAATATACAATAATATACAGGGTGAGAGAGACGGGGCGAGGACGATAAACAAGAATCGGGGGGGAGAGAGAGAGTATACCAAAAATATACCAGGCTTCATATATATGTACATATCAACCCGTTTTGATTTCACATAGTTCATTTATTAACAAAATTACTATATAGTTTTATGTGCATTATGATTCTTTTATGTGATTCTATTTTCTACGCCTGTATACTGATGCATACTTACAGTAACTATATATATATATGTATATTACTGTTGATAGCAAACCATTAGAGATAGATACACGTATCTACTGCATCAATATGACACTGACATCTGCCAAAAATCTTTCACAACATTTTCTTTTAAAATCATTATGTACGTGGGGTTTGGTAGATTCCCTCTGAATTCATGGAACTTCTTAGAAATGCTGACATGGAATATTTTAGTTTTTAAATTTCAAATCTCGAGTTACCCTTTTTCAAATAATATAATGCATGATGAGACTGTGACCCCCCCAGAAAAAAAAAATGAATGATGAGAGAAGCATGGGATCCAGTTCCCTTGCTGCCAATATCTTTTTCTAGGTATTATATACATATATAAGATGTATATGTATATATGTATGTATGTATTTGTATATATACAAGTGAGTCCTAGTCTCATTGCATCTCTATTGCCAAGTAATCTCTCTCTCTCTCTCTCTCTCTCTCTCTCGTGAGTGTGTGTGTGTGAGACATGGGATCCATGAAGGAGAGCAAGAAGAAGAGACCATGCAGCAGAAAGCTCGGAGGATATCTAAAAGAGCAGAAGGGAAGGCTTTACATCATCAGAAGATGTGTAGTCATGCTCATTTGCTGGCACGACTGACGTATTTCTATACGTTTTCATATACGTACACACACATATACACATATATATATATATGATGTAGTATTGGTGATCTTTGATCATGTAACGTGGATCAAAACGACGACGGATTTGGAGAAATTAATGAATCGAATACCGTTGAATGGTACGTCATCAACATTGCACAAAGTTCTTCAACCGTCAGCCGAGTTCACGATTTAAAGATATGAACGTCTTAGATGGTATATATATATATATATATATATATATGAAATAATAAGATTGAAGTTGGTTATTATGTTCTTCCTTCTTTGTAACCTTTGTATATAAAACTTTGTGCTAAGAGAGTTATATATCAATTTGATAATTTGTAAAAAAAAAAGGTTAATTATTGATAAGCTGTTTTCCTTTTTCCCCTTTATGTTTTTCTAAACGGTTTTTCATTTGAATGATAATTAATTATAGAATATATATATAGTTCGGTTCACGTCTATGTTAAAAAAGAAAAAAGATCAAGAAAATATTATATTCGGAGTATGTGGAAACCTTATATTAATGTTCATGTATAGTAAGTATATTATGATAAAAACTATTACAGTATTTTAATTTACTTGTATAGACGTAAAAAACTGAAAGAAATATATACCAAAATTGATCATATGATGTCTCTTTTGTATTAAAAAAAAACTTTAATGAACGGTGAAACGAAGATACCATCAAAAAATGGCGACGGAATAACAACGAAAATGTAAATTAAAAATTTTCTGTCACACTTCCGTTATTATCTATGAACAAATTGGAAATCAAATTGTTTTTATACAGTCAATTAGTAAGGAATTAGCAACAAATATTGGTAAGATGCATTTCTTTTATTATGATTTTAATGCATACGTTTCACAAATTGTTTGGTCCACTGTGATGTTTTTTTATAATTATTATCTATCTTCCATTTCTTGATTCCAATCAAGTCATCTATAAAATAAGCAACTTATATATATATATATATATATATATATATATATATATATATATTAAGAGTTT